CTGCTCTTTTCCAGGCTGAAGAGTCCTATGGCTCTCAGCCTACCGTCATAAGGTCTATTTTCCTGACCTCTAATCATGCGTGTGGCTCTCCTCTGCACTCTCTCAAGCTTCTCCACATCCTTTTTGAATTGTGGAGCCCAAAACTGGACACAGTTCTCCAGCTGGTGTGGAGAGGAGATCCATACTGGATCTGCTATTGTTCTAGCTGCCTCCATCTCCTCTTGACTTCAAGATCAAATGCAGAGGGTGAGGAGCTGGAGTGCAGTGCATAAAGCCACAAATGCATTTTCTTAATGAAGACAGTCAAAGGGGAGGCCAATGGATATAAACAAGGAGTGGGCTGTGGATTGTGGAGCAGTAGGAGCCAAGTGGGCTACAGGGAGAAATACAGAGCAGTGGGTAGGTAATGGTGTTTCAGCACCCCGTATCAAGACGCACTTAAGCATCACTTCTCTGGAGAAGCCTGGGCGTTTACCTGCCTGCATTTCTACGGTCTTGCCCCTCCACTTACAAGGCCAGGACTTTAGGACATTCCTCCATAGTACAGCCCCATGAAAAGCTCTGCCTGGATGGCCCGGGGTCAGATATGTTTGCATCGTGTGGGGCCAGGTAGGATCACACTAATACCGAGAGGCAGTCATAATCAGGGATTTTTTCCATTGTCATTTTAAATAAATAAGCCTTGGGAGTTGCCGTGGTGGCTTCTTTAAGTGAGAACTTGAAAGAAAAGGACTTCATGGAAAGTGGAGCAGGGCAAAGGATGGTGAAGTGTGTCTTAATGTATTAAACATTGGCTCATCAGCTCAGGAAGCATTTCAGATAGAGATTAAAGCAGAGACCTGTGTGCCATGAGGCCAGGGAAATGCAGCACAGGGATCTCACTGACACAGATTCTCCCTCCCCAGCCCACACCCTACCTCACAAGTAAATGCCTCACCCACTCCCTGCAGTGCCATACAGGGGGACACAGAGCTCAGACCAGGACTAGACTGGGGGTAAAATAACCAAGGAATGAGAGTGGAGAGGGATGAAGACCAGTTTCCTTCCTGTATGGGGCAGAAGGAATTGTGGGTGGGGGAGGGTAAGTGATGAAGATGGCCCCTCCCTGTGTGAAACAGATGGGGCTGGAGGAGTAAAAGGGTAATGATTCCTTCCTATGTGGGGCAGAAGGGGATCTGGGGTAAGAGGTACTGAAGGAAGCACCATAGCTGCCCCAAACAAGTGTTAGGGAAATGGCCTCCCACCCATCTGTAGCCTGCACAGACCTCACAGTGGGGGCACTAATGAAGAAGGTTTAGCCAAGAAAAGGGCACCAGGAGGGCAGGGATTAGGAGCACTTCCTCACTGTCCTCTCTGAGCCCTGCCCCATGCTGGGTGGTTGTTGTACAGACCTTCATCCTCTATCTCCTCACCTGAAGAAGGTGTGGTGCTCAATGCAGACCTTCCAGAGTCTCTTAGCAGAGCGGTGGTTAGGGAGCTTGAAGCCAATGGTGCTCTCAAACTGCTCATACTGGAAAGAGACACAGACACAGTATTATTGCTATGGTTCCTGCTTTTGCAGTGACTTACTGCTCAGCTCTGGGTGAGGCTTGACATGGGGCCTGCCTTCCCTCTGAGGGTTACCTCCTGGAGTGAGAGCAACAAACAAGCTATGCCATAAACACTTCCCAAACTGGCCCTGGTGATATTCTGTTCAGAACTGGTTCCAGCAGCTTCTCTAGTCATAGGCAGGGTCAAAATTCACACAGCAGCTAGTTGACATTGTTTGGTTGAAAAGTTTTCCTCAACAGTAAATGCCCTTTCAAAGCAAGAGAAATTTTCTCATGAAATTTAAAGAAAACTCAAAACTTTTCTGTTTTGTTTAGGCAGAAATTTCTCAGAACCCTTCACTTTTTGAAACATACTCCCCCCTTTCCATACCTTCTGGAAAAGGGGAAAACAGGTGTTTTCTCCATGTAAGTCAATTGTTTGATTTCACTTTAATACTTAAATTTGAAAATTTTGGTCAAAAATTAAAAAAAAAAGAAAATGTAAAAATTCCATTGGTCATCATGTTCTTAATGAAATATAAAACACACAAAGAGAAAGAAAAAACCTCTGTTGGAGTATCTTCTGTTTATAGCCTGCTACAACTTCCAACCACATCAAGCTTCAGCTAAGAGGCATGTGGGGAAAGGTGGCATGTGTATGTACCCTCTGCCCCTACTAGATGCTCTGATGTAGATCAGTTTTTCAGTGGGAGTAAGAGGACACAAGAAGTAAAAGATCTGCTCAAGATAAGAGCCCATTATCTGTAAGACAAGGACGCTGCTGCTTTTTGTTTGTCTGTCTCAAGTACCTAAACTGTCAGCTCCCTGGATAGGGACTGTCTCTGGGTGTGAAGTAGTGAGTACCATAGGGATAGGTCATGGCTGGGGCCACCCAGTGCTACTGTTGTACAAGCACTAACAGACCTGGCTATCACATGTGCCCTCTTGTGAGAGAGACTTCCTGATATCACCAGAGGGAACAGGGGAATTCTCCTCCATTACCATCCCTCACTGAGACTCTCCTGAGAGAAACCCACCTCGCCGGGGCGGATTTTGATGTAGAAGTTGCTCCTTTTGTAGGAAATCTTGAGTATCTTGGGCCAGGCAAAGCGATTTATCCGCAGCCTGTCTCTGTAGATCAGGAGGCCGTTGGCACAGACGCCCAGCATGATGTCAATGCCCTCTGAATCCTGAGGTCAGAGGGGAAGGAAAAACAGAGGAGGGTTAGTCCTTGGCAGGCCATCAGCCCTCCAGCAAAAGCCTCTGAGTGTGGGCTAGCAGGACATCTGGAACCAGCCTTTCCAGGCTCTTGTCTGACTGGTAGTTTGTATCTACAGCCAACAGTAAAACCCCAGAGCTGTATTCCCTGCTGCCTTCTGTGTCCCAGTGGAGACACATGGCTTTGCCATGCTTTCTCCGCAGGAAAGAAGCTAGAGGGAGACAGATGCCCTAGTGCAGGACAGGGTTAGAGGCTTTGGGAAATGCCGGGGCTGCACTTTGGGTCTGAGAGGCTCAGGGGCCCATCACAATGGTGATTCAGTTTTCTAGTCCAGCTGTGGCCCAGAGTGGCATGGGCTGACAGGATCACTTCAGCTCCGCTAGAGACACCTAAGGGACTTAAAAGATCTTAAAGACTAGTTTGTATTAGGTGACTACATGCTGCTTACTGTCATTTTCCTGGTGGAAGTAGGATTCTGGCTTCGCCTGGCAGTAGCCTATTATAAGAGGGGAAGGCCCTAGTGGTACTCTAGCCTGGGAGCAGGGCTCCTTTGTCTTCTGGGAGGCCTGACAGCTTCTTCCCCTCTGGCTATCACTGGTTCTGGGTTCTGCCATAGGCAGGTTCCCCATGGCCTCTGCATACTGTGTACACATCTTTACCACTGTGGGAATGCCGTGACCATGTGCACACATTCTTCCCCCGCAGCTTGAGGGAAACGAGGACCTCTCTTGCAGACCACACAGCAGCCCCAGAGCATGCTGGAGCTGGAGCCAGGCTTGTGCTTGAACAGGAGGCAGGGAAAGAGGTATTTTCATATAATACTTGGGATTACAAATGAGGAATGGGACTTCCAGTCACTGTGACCTCCTGGGGAGTCGAATTCAACTGTTTCTGGAGGGGTGCTTATTCCAATCTGGAAACTTCTAGGTGCACACAAACATTGTGCCAGTGGAACAGCACTGCTAGAGTACTCATGCTGCTCACGGAGCTGATTTGTCCCCGCCAGTTGAAGTCAAGGGGTCTATCACACTGATAGATGGATGTGAGGCAATGGATGTGAGGCAGTGCTGAGGGGGAAGGTTTTGCTAGCAAAATACGCTACTGTAGCCCAGGCCCAAGTCCCAGACTCTAAAGTGACCTGGGAACTGAAGCTGCCTGTCTGCATAGAGGACAGAGGCAGCACAATCAGAGCAAGTGCAAGTTACCCCCACACTGCCCTGCCTGCAGGCTCCAGCCTGCTCTGGAATGACTCTGTGCAGGGTCTGCAAGGGAGTGAGTTCGGTTTTCGAGGCCTAGTCACTCTGGGCTCCACTGATGAGATGGCTAATGCCAAGTGCCATGTGGATACCTGTGGACTGAGAACCAGGCTAAGACCCACGTGTGCATTTTGACAAGCTCCCAAAGGGAATCTCACCTTGTGACAGCTTCCATCTGCTGCCAACCTGGCCTGGATTGACAGCCTGGCTTGTGACCCTAGGCACAACAATGACCATCCTGGCTTCCTTTGAGCTGGACTTCCCAGGCTGGTTGTTGCAAAGGCCTGGCAACTGGATATAGGATAAGCTTACTGCGTATAACACACCACAGAAAAGCAGCTCAGACCATCTCCAAGTGCACCCTAGACTTGTCAGTTTGTTCTGCAGACTCAAGCACTAGGGGGCAGCAGAGAGCTGCTGTGATTGCTCAGAGACCAGGGCAGGGGAGTGGGAGCACTATGGCCAATATACATGAGCTGCTGTATAAACAAGTACTAAATGACTGTGCAATAACCAGTTACTGTGCAGTACTGTTGCCAAATGGCCTTTTTGTGATGCTAAGTGAGCAGTAGCCTGAGACTACTGTGCAGTAGATTCGCATCATGCTTCCTGCCATGCACGCTACTGCGCAGTCTGCCTCTAGTGTAGATGTGACCTGTATACATGCTCAGATCTGCAGACCAGGCTGCTGCATACTGGTCATCTTTCTGCACTGGCCACATTTCCTGGGTGCCCTTTGGTCCCAGATATCAGAGCAAGCAGGCCCCAAATGAGCACAGAGAAGTTTCCAGTTCCTTTCACTCCAGCTTGGAAGTTTTCAGTGCTGCTACTCCCTAAGAATGTTAAACACTGGGATGCTGCAACTGGAAGGCAGGAAATCACATGAACAGCATCAAAGCATATAGGAGGACCCATGAAGCATCATGATAGACAGAGGCTGCTGTAGGCTGAAGGGATGAGGCCAAACTGATAAAGAACTTCTGAGAGGGACAAAGGGAGAGACACGAAGTTAGGGGGGAGCAGAGAGAGGCCAAGAGGGTCCAAGAACATTTCCTGGTCTCAGTCTCCACTCCAGGTCCATGGGACCCAGTACCTTGGCATGATGTAGGTCAACACCGTACATAGAGAGCTTCTTTGCATTCTCCAGGAAGTGAATCTCTGCTTCACCAGGTGTCATGCCCCTGCAGAGGAGATAGGGAGTAACAAAAGACTAATAAGGAACACCCCACCCTTCCCTCCCCACTGCTGTACTGTGTGGGGGACCAGATGCCTGCCCAGGGAGCTGAACATGTGATGTTATCAGCAGGGCCCCTTCAGTTGCTGTACAAGCAGCTGCATGC